GGGGGGGGGGGGGGGCGGAGGAGGGGGCAATCGTCGTGAGACGTACGCGCGTTACGAGCGCGTTAACAATCCTTGAATTCCGCAACGCGAACGCGTCGCGTTTCGGAAATGTTATAGCAAACTAGAAGGTAATACGGCCCGCGTGGCGCCTTTTTCCTCTCTTTCTGCCAAAATCACTCGCAATTATACTCAAGAACTTGAGCCCGTGGACGACTTTCGCTCAACGACGTGATTTCCCCGGGCGATATCGCGTCGCGTTTGAGCCCGCGCGGGCCCGATCAGGTGCAGCGATTCGATGCGGTACTTTAAAAGTACGTGTGCAACCGACTGCATACGGTAGCGAGTACGACGGCGCTATCGTTTCGTCGAAAGTATCCGCACGGTGTATATCGGCGGCGAAGGAAAAGCGGAGGAGCGCACGCCGGGACACTGTATTGCGGTTTCAGGCAAGAAATTGCGCCGCGCGAAACTCAATAGCTGCGGAATCGAATCCGGTGCCGCACGGCCGTTTACCGCCGGTGCTTTATTTCCCTGGCCTGGCCGCGCAGCTAAACGGGGGCTAAACGGAATCCGCGACGGCACGTGTCCAAGGAGGAGGAAAAGAAGGAGGAGGAGGAGGAGGAGGAGGTGAAGGAGAAGGGAGGCAGACAGGTAGGCAGCCGCCAGGACGCGGGCGAACCGAGCTCTCTCGCCCCTTCGGCTGTCCGGTTGTCGCCGTCCATTTCATACGGCGCGATGCTTTTTTTTCTCCCTCGGACTCAAAGGCAGAAGCTATTAACATCGTGACTTTTCTTCCGTTCAACGGCCAGAACTCATTACCACGTCGTATAAGAGTTCCGACAGTTTTCGAGGTAAAGTTGGATTAGAGGTTGGCAGCTCGTTAGCCGACCTTATCGATCCCTCCTCTCCGGTACCATTGTGCTCGGCGTATTAATTAAAAAATGAAAATCCGGAGCCCGTCCAACACACGAGAGAAGCCCCGTAATCCCCCACCGTGCGAGCTCCGCACTCTCTGCTCCCACCCACATCGCCCCCTCTCCCTCTCCCCTTCGCCTCTCGACTCTCGCGCTCCTCGTCTCTCTCTCCCTCGCTCGGGAACGGCCGCGAAGTTAAATTGCACCGGATCGCTTATCGATTTTCAATTTACTCTCGGTATCAATAATTCAATGAACTCCGGAGTACTACTTAAACGAACCTAGTGAAGTCTCAATGGGCCAGCCATGGTTTATCTTTTCGTGCCTCTTTCATAGTCAAGAGCGCTAAATTATGGCTCGCTGCGAAAGACGCAGCGACGGAGGCGGCGGGTAGCGGACGCGCGTTGCGAATCCGATCGATAGAATATTCCGGATGACTGGTCGCGAGCACGCGCGCCCGGAACTCCGGTCTCGTTCGAAACAACCGGTCAGCCGTGAGAAGCAACATGTGCTTCGTCTTGCCAAATCATTATCGCTATGTCTCTAATCTAGCGCGGACAAGACGAGGGAGGCTCGCGCCGCGCTCGACTGTCTAACAAATGCGTGTTACGGACAGGTGAGGGTGCCGTGGTGACATCTCGCAATCACTCCGACCCGCCAATTTATCGAAAGAAAGACTAATGGTCGCCGGAGGGTAACGCGCGTTGCGCGCTGGATCAAGCCTCCGGCCTGGGGTGAAGAGAGAAAGAAAGAAAGAAGGGAGAGTGCGCGACGAGATAGGAAACGGGCTGCTGCTGGGGAGGGGGGCAGTGACAGATACCAGCGTCGGAACCGATCGATCTGGAACGAAATAAAATATGCTCGCGAGAGCACGGGCGTAATTACGAGCACCGAAGAAAAATACAGCGCGCCATTACCGGAGGGTTAAGTGAACCTGCCCTGATCGGGTTGTACGGCAGGTAAGGGGGAACGAGAGAGCGACAGGGCGATGGAGGCAGAAGGGGGTCAGCAGTGGGATACGAGAGAGAAAAGGAGAAGAAGCGAGGCAAGGAAAAGAAGGAGTGAACGAGAGGGAGGAAAAGGTCGAGACAGAAAGAGAGAGAGAACGGAATAGGGCGAGGCGAGCGAAGCCGGAGGAGAGGTATTACTCAGATAACTGAGACGTGGAACGAATGAACGAAGGGAACCTTGCAAGAACGAGTCGTAGGAGGTTGGTGGAGGTGCTTTCGCGGGGAACAGAGGTGGAAAGTATGGCTCGCGTGCTCGGACGCAAGTTCGCCTTGGCTTCCGGTTGCTCGCATGCTACGGGTCCACTTGTATTAGGCTCACCGTACGAACGAAGGAACGAACGAACTAACCAACCAACGAACGCACGCCCTGTCCGTCGGTCTGTCGGACACACAGTCAAGCACACGAGAGAAACACACAGTCTCGACACACGTAAGTCGTCCCGGGTCAGAACTCACCCTCTCGACGCGGAAGCTAATCGCTGGTTGAATTAATTCCCAAACTGAGAATGGCTTCTGCTGACAGAGCCGGTTACCGTCCAGAAACGCGAAAAGATATCGGACAATCGAGGACGACTAATGGCCGTCGGTGGAAATGCTAGGATGAGTTGTGTTTGTGTGTTGCCAGTCGCAAACGCAATTTCGATTGCGGGTTAGCGCGAGCGCGCGGATAAAATGTTCGGGCACGAGGTCGCGCGTTTTGCTAAATTCATGCGACCCGGCCGCGACCTTCGGGCTCGGGGTGAGCTCCGATGCGGTTAGAGAAACTACCGTGGTGGAGAGATACAATCGGTCGTTACAACTTTCGCGGCGAGGCGTGTAAAAGCCATTACGCAGGCTAGATAATTTCTATTATTAGGAGAATCGTGCCGAAGATAGCGGAAAGTTCCATGGAGATATACGCCGAATAATAGCTCTATCTTACGTACATTTGTACGTCATTCGAAGCCGAGAGAACACTGTGTGTATTTCTTCCTTCGTTATTGATATCGTACATTAAATTGCGCACACTGATGGCACGCAGAAAAAATGGAGTACAATCGCGCGTGATATACGGCGTGATATACGTTTCTTTCGCGATAAACGCGTCCCGCGAAAGCTATTCAAAAGCACGCATGCGTGCTTTCTCTCTGGTCCTTAATTATTACGCACAATATTTCGTTCGCGCGCGCGACAGATCCAGTCTCGCTCGTTTCAATTAAAGCCCTCGGCGCGCGTTATTCAACGGGCGAGCTCCATCCGAACGGCAACCAGAAATCAATGAAAAATTTCCAGGATTAATTTCGAGGAAAATGGCGAAAACACATGTCCGCAACGTGTGCTGAATCAAAGTACTTTTTTATGACTCCCCCGATGCGGAGGTAGTTAAGTTAAATAATGAATGAGGATTGGCTAGCTGGGCCGGTCTGCTGGGGGGTTCGGCTCGGGATACCGGAGTTGCTTTGATGTCTGGCGGCAGCCGCCGATTATGGAATCAATTATTGCGCGAGTACTCCCTCTTTCGTTCTCTATCTTTTTCGAGTCGCTCTCTCGCAGTTTCGCCCGCTCCCGCTTTATTTCTCGCTCTTTCACTCTCTCCTTCTCTCTTTTTTACCTCCCACCTTTCGCCTTTCCTTTATCTCATTTTCTCTCGCTTATTCCACCCATCTTTGTCCCACGTTCGTGACGCGGTCGCGCGCGCGCGGAGAAGATTTATTCCGTATAGGAAGAAATTACTCGGATAGTCACGGAGAACCGATTCCGCGAAAGGTCAGCAGAGTCCAGGTTCAGGTCCACCCGGCGTACATAAGGATATACCGCTATTATCGTCCTATAATCTACGTCAATTACTCCGATGACGGACAGCACCGCGGAAATAGGATCTTAACTGTCAGTACGTGCTTATTTTTCCCGGCTCTAACGCTCGGAATTAATCCCAACGACAGTCCGCGCGATAAGACCATTGCATTGATTCGTTGTAATCATTAGTCGGAGTTATACGCGAGGCTCGTTAATATAATTTTTTTGGAGAACCCAATAGAAAGGATTTATCATTGACGTTTTCAGAGAGAAATAAATTTATTATTATGTTCCTTTATTTATATTTTATTATAATTAGCGTTTTATTATAATTAGATTTTATTATAATTAGATTTTATTATAATTAGAGGTCAAGGACTTGAGGCATTCGAGAAATTTGAGAGCGAGGTTTTCAGAAGAATGTATTACATATGTAAATCGTCGTCGTGTCAATGCTTTTTTACGATCTATTGCTGTTTAATTTTAGTCTGACATTTTGTCATGCGGAAAATGATTTATAACGGCTCGAGAATAATATGTCTCGAGAATAATACTGTCCGTCGGCATTAGCTCTTGTTCTTCTTGCCTTCCTTAATGGAGATCACATAGCGCTGCGCGACATTCAACGGCGGCGAGTAGCCATCGCTGTATTCTACGTCCTCGAACAGGATCTGATATTCCTCCGTGGCGGTGTTCGGCAGTTGGTTCACGATCGCCTTGTAAAAGCAGGTCGTTTGCGGATACAGGGCCATTACGATGGAGCCTTTCGGGAACAAGGCGTGCGGATCGGTTTCGGGATTGACTCTCATCAGCGGCAACGGCACCACTCGTCTTCGCGACAACGTGTGACGGACCTTTTGCTCCTCGTCGATATCGTCGACCTCGTACTTATTCGTGGCGGGATTGAATTGCACGACCTCCGCGAGTATCCAATTCTCCTCGTCCTGATCGGAACCCGGCTTGACCAAGGCAGCTACCATGTCACCCATTTTTGCGATGTACGATGGTTCGGCCGGTATTGCGCCGCACAGAGGCGGAGGCTTGGCACCGGGTGTCTTACCCACGTAGAGAGGCAAGGTTTGCGCGGTGCTCTGCAGCATCTTCATCAGCGCGCCACGTCTGATGGTCTCCTTGTTGCCGGCGTTCTTCGATTGAATGCGAAACTCATTTCGTATGACGCGTATCTCGTTGATCTTGCCGAGGGTCCTGCGCAAAACATCCTCTTCCTGCTGGGCATCGAGTATCGCGGCGTTGTACAAGTTCTTCAATTTCTGCTGATAGTAAAGGGACACCTTGTCGTCTGGCGTGACCTTCTCGTGGGTTTTCATGATATTATTCATGTTGAACTCTGAACGATTGCGGTGTGCTTCTATCTCGCGCAGGAGACTATATATGCTAGACAAACGCTCGTTTATCTGCTGACTCACTATTGTGTCCGTGGTGAATGGCATTGTGGAAAATGTAGGAGTCTTTTCTTTAGGACACTAGGACTCAGTCTTTTCTTTCTTTTCTCCCTTAAATTTTCTTTTCTCGAACCTCTTTCTTGATGATACCACAGTAACTTTGATTCTAATTTATTAATTTCCCCGGTATCATTGCAGTTTTTCTGTAACAAAGGGATCACTCTCTGGGCGTCCGACATTTTCCAAAGTTTAGTTGCTGTTAATTTGGAATTAATTTAAAATTAATAATTGATTTGTCTAATATATCAAATACGTATTATTATTTTTATTATTACAAAGCATGTCTTTTTTGGATTATAAAAGATTTTAAAATGTGAAAGTTTATACCGATAGAGAGGAATCTTAAGCTTTTCTCGTTTGAACACGTGTAGTTGTGATGATGCTATGCGGCTTGTCACGTACTACCGTGCTGCAGCTCTTTTCAATATGGCCGACAGTGAACACGTTGGCGACTGAGTCGATATACATACCCGTCCTCCGCGAAGTTTTGTATCCCTTCTCGGACAAATTTTCGATGGATTTCGTTCTGGCACGAGAGTGAGGCCTCGGTGAGACGTTCCAGAAGTCGATAGCTCAGCGTAAACCTCTCTAACGCGAAGTTTCAGGCAGCACTAACTGTTCCCTCATGCTACTCGATCGACCGCAGACTCGCATCTGCGTCATACTCGTTCTCCCACCACCGTCCTCCTAGCTGGTCGTTACGGTTCTCTGCCAAGGCGATGCTGCCATCTCTCGAGCGCGTCGATGAACGACGCAGCGGCAATAGTATTGCCCATGACCACATGCTGATTCACTGCTGGCTGATTCAACCAGTCAAAATGGGATGTATTTTCCTCGTACAAAGAAACAAATCGCCGAAGGCGATTCTATTCTTCCTTTCTTTGGATTCAACTTCGGTGTTTGGACAGATAGCACAAGCGTACTCGAGTCTTCTTAGTCGAATACAATTTATTTTCCTTTACCTCTCGTTTTGTGATATTGTATTATTGCAGTATTGCCTCACGTTTCATTTTGAGAATTATTCCATTCTATTATTATATAACCTTATTATATATTTTTTATTCACTATTTTACTATTTAATTATTATTTATTATGGAACAATATATTTATTAATCGAATATCTACGTTGCATTTTGAAGATTATTTTATTATTTTATGACCTTATTATTTTTCATTTCTTTATTTTTATTAATTACTTTATTATTTATTTATCATTTAATACTAAATAGTATATTTGAGTTTTATTAGCCGAATGCAATTTATTTTCTTTTTGTGCTATTTTATTATTGCTTTATGTTTCATTTTGAGGTTTATTTTATTATTTTACAATCTCGTTATTTTTTTATCTCTATTCATTATTTTATTATTTATTTATCACTTTATATATATTTTCTTTTTATTTTAAAACACATTCGAAATATGTGAATAGTTTACGTTTGTTTATATTTAGATTTTGTTGCAATGATCTATGTCGCGATGCTATGCCTATAATTGGGTTGTACCTGAGCTTGTACATTAAATGTTCGACCCAACGTGACCATCCGCTCCATCGGCCGTGAGATATACGTGTGTTCGAATGATAAAGTCGTTTTGACACGCGAAAAATAGCTATATGCGGATAATTTTTCCCGGAGAGAACCCGTTCCTAGATCCAATCATACATCGTATCGCATAGACGGGTCGGTTGCGGCACCAGGCGGGAGGCATACATTGAATGTGGCGTGTATCATCGCTAACAACCAACAGGTTAACCGCGCTAACAGCATCGACAGCACCGCAGAATGCCATAACTCATTCAAGGTAGGGCTTGGGAAAACTGAATCTAATCTCTTGATTAAACGCATACTTCCGCGACGAGATTTCGCGTTATCGTCCCTCGCCCCGGTGTTCTCGTGCGCAAAAAAAAATTCTCCAAAGTAGACGACAACCAGCCGCGATTTAATAACAGATTCAAAACGTACAATCGACGGGACATTGCGAGAAACGGTTCAATTTTTCATCGGCTCGATCATTCAAACGACTATTGAGACCCGCCGAACTCCGCGATATTTGAGCCCGCCGTGACTTTCCTCTCTTCCTCGATATGTTATTCCAGTCCGTCGCAAAAATATGATAACGGGAACTTCTCGGCGACAAAACAGCGCTCGCGAGACTCGCCGCCGATAGCGATCCACCGATTATACGCGTCGATCGCTTCGATGTATTTCAAGCGAGCGGTGCTTGAAGTGGCACATCCGTTTCGATAAATCGCTGCGATCTCCCCGCGAAAACGTGTCGCTCCCAGATACACGATCGCGCGCGGCGGCATATCGCAGCGCGCGTGACGGCGTGGGTGCGAGGTGTGTTACTGTTGCTGTTGTGCACCGTGCACACACATCGGACACGCTGTGCATCATCGCTAACGGCCGCGACTGGTTAACCGCGCTAACAGTGTGCCGATAACGCACCGAGAGACGCCGGGACGCATCGCGCGCATGGAACTTGAGAGAATGCCGAGCTGCGTGGACTATTACCGCGACTGTGCCTTGCCAGAACGCGCGCGTCCGTGTGTTTACTACATCCCCATACACACGTGTGCCACACGTACACCTGCCGATATACGCGGCGCAACGTGCACTCGCCGTAAACGTATCTGACCGCGTGGCGACGGCGGCGACGACGACGGCGCGTTCGAGCTCTTGCGAACTCCGTGACCTATCCACCACAATGAAATACATGTCACATGTGCCGCACAGTGGCGCGAGCTGCACCGTCGCAAAATCGCAGGCGATTCATCCTTGCGCCACGTATCAAGGGAATGAATCACGTTTCCAGGCCAAAGGAAGCAACAGTATTTGGAAATTTATTTTCAAGGAAACTACCAAGGAGAGAGAGGGAGAAAGAGAGAGAGAGTGAATATGTCTGTATACAGTTGAGAAACACATTTGCATCAAAGAATGATTTGTCATTATTTCCTGTGCAAACATAATCATGCAAACTAAGGAGGCGTGCGAGATCATTGGATGCTGCAAAGTCATCTCCGTGCAAGAAATAATTCCATAAATTATGTTTCTTAATGCAAGTGTATTACTTTGTTATGTATGTAAAATTCGAGTATGTTCACGTAATAGTTTCCTGCAAATAAATCTTCGAACATTGTTGCTTTTTCGACCTGAACGATCACTTGCCCCCTTGATGCTGTCTAATGCACTCATGTTCGCGAGGAGATCCCGCGATTCCCATCATTCTCTCGCGATGGTAGTCGACTCGCGTTATCAGCTGAGTGAACCGAAAGGTATCTCTCTTGGATTGTCGGCGAGATTTTTCACCGCCAAGTGGGAGATCAACGGGCAGCATTAATGCACTCGATTGCGTATCGGATGTAGCAGCAGCAACGCACGACGGTGACCCCAGTGGAATGTCTGAAATCGCCGCGCGTTTATCGTGGGAGATCGTCTAATCTCGCCGTCGTATATATTCTCCGCGTGGCACGTGCAATTAGCGGTACATTCGAGCGCGCTTGCATTATCATCGGCTATCGTCCCCGTCATTCGGCTTTCTGTGCATTGATTTATAGCGCGTCCGGCGACGGCGTAATTATTGACCGACGGCTGCTGCCGTTACTGCTGCTGCTGCTGCTGCTGCTGGTTTGCGAGCGCGCGAGTGGGAGAGGAGTTTCACGTTGCGAAATCATTGATAACGCGACCCGCCGTTGGTTTGCATATAATGCGAACAAATTCATTCGCGTCGCACCGCACGACGACGATTCATACCCGGGGCTCGGCGCGAGCGCGGCCGCGCGATCAACAATTTAAATTAGCCGCGCGGCTCTTACAACTCAATTTCCATCGATTAAGTATGAAGTATGCAGACTAGACGATGTGTGCGCGCGCCCGTGCACGGTGCTGTTGCTTAGAACGTCGTCATTTCGCGCGCGCTTGCGAATGAGAGAAAAAGAATCAATGTCTAACGAGACCCGTTTGTTTATCCGTCGACGGAAACCGGACTTCCATAATTGATACTGTGTCATCTAGTGTTATTTGTGATACAACGTGCAATTAACGTGGCGATATAAATAAGCGCTGTCGACGGAGTATTTACTCGGTTAATACTTTATTAGCACTACGGGATACTAGGTAGCATCGACATCAGTAACTCGTATGATTGCTGCTGTCATCGGCTAGTTTCTATATCTGGATAAATATCGGAGAAATTATCTGGCGACTACCTGCGAATTAACCGGCGACTGCCCGAGCACCTGTTCATTACCCGCGGCGTTATTACAAAGTGACAGTACCTCGATATTTTTGAGGATAGCATTCGCGTCAACTTACTTCCCTCGAGAGAAGGGATACGTATTGCAGACGCCGCGCTGCAAGTAGTTGTATCACGCTTCGTGTCTAGCGAAGTAGCGCGTGCAACTCGCGAGCGAACGCAACGCGTCTGTAAACTGTTTGCAGCGCATTGCATCTGTCGGCGGTATTGCGCCCAGATGCAAAGTGTCTGCATCCACTTGCTGCGTGGCGTTTACAAGTCGTACTCCAAAAGTACGATTTCAGAAAATAGTTTCATTGCGCGTGGTTAACCCTTCCCATTGCCCTCGTTCGGCTGACGAAGGTTAGTGCTTTCGTAAGAGCGAAGCGCCGCGCCTGTTATTAATTAAATTTAGGAAAATTTAATTATCACTGCATTAATACAGCTTCATAGAAATGAATAGATGCATTAGACATTGATTTATTATCGATTCATCAGAGTAAGGCTTAAATTTGGTAACAGTGCGAGCCGCATTGACTTGATACTCTCGCTATGAGCGCACGTTAACATTTTCAAAGTTTATCGATAAAAATTATATTAAGAAAATTAAGAAAACGACCATACAAATAGTCTGAAAAGTTGTAAAAGCCAGAAAGCTTGAAAGCTAAAATTTCAACTGAGCGTTCGTCTTATACGAAGGCAATAGAGGGTTAAATTAGCGTAAAAGTCTTCTCCACATTTGTCCTAACAAAAATCGTAAATTTCGAAATTACCTCCAAGAGATCGTTTCAATTACCAAATGTGCGATAAAGAGAAACACTTGTAAAATGCAATATTTATTATTTTTGGCTTTCCTACAACATATCAAAGGCTCATGAAAATTACTAAGAAGCACTTCCAGACTCCTTGGAAGTGTCAATCTTGTCCTCTAATCAAGAAGATCCTAAATTCATAGTTTGCCACGGGCGTAACATCGATTTTACGATCGCAATCGCGCCGAAATTATTCATATCGCGCCAGTCTAACAGAGAACTGGCAAAATGGAGCATACTAGATATTGTCAAAGCTCGCACGCGTTTCGTCTCTCGTTTCCTAATTGCTCTGACGAAACTCAGCACTCGCGCGTCGTCGCCGGGTGGAAATCAAATCCTTTTTACACGTCTGACGGGTGCAACCGCGAATGGGCCATTAAAACGTGCTACGACACGACGACGAGCTCAGCATTGTCAGCTCGGGGTGTTACGTACGTACATATGTACGTGTGTAGATACGTTTCGAAATATGGAACAAGGGGTCTAACGAGGCGTAAGGAGATCCTGTGTGGGCCTCGAGCTAAGTCCTTACGCCATTTCGCGCCCTTCGTCTGGGGATACGCGTATCTCGCTAATACCCATTCCGGCTCTCATCACCGAATTCGCT